AAGCTCTCACAGCCCCATACCAGAAAAACATACTATCCAAGAAGACAATAATAAAGCACTTTTTGAGGGGCAAGTGCAGGATGAGGACAAAGCCCTTAGTTCTCCTCCAAACCTGTTCTCTCTATACAGGAAGCAGCTTCCAAAGGAGCCCAAGTTTGGGCCATGTTCTTGAGCCACAGCGCCTTTCAGACCTGCCCCTGGGGCCCTGTGTCTGCACTGATTGGCCTACTACAGAAGTGCCTTGGTTCTGAAGTCACAGAACCAGGCAATGGCACAGCTGTCAGAAACCTCAGGGATCATCTCTCTTCAATTCCCTTTGGGGGCTTCCCTGGTGCCTCAGACAGTAAAGAACATGCCCACAATGCAGGAGACCCAGGTTCGATCCCTGGGTGGGGAAGATCCTCTGGAGTAGGAAATGGCAAAACCTACTCCAGTATTCTTGCCTGGAGAATTCCATGACAGAGGAGCCTGGCTGGCTCCAGTCCGTGGGATCACAAAAAGTCAGACACACCTGAGTAACAAACACTTTCGCTTTCACTCCCTTTGAACAAATAAGAAACCAAGTCCAGAAATGACAAGTGACTTTCCTAAGGTCACACAGTTAGGAATTGCCAGAATCAGGCCTTAAACCTGGATCTTCTGACTCTGAGTGCTCTTTTTATGCCATCAGGTTAGCCAGGAGGGTCTCCCCAGCCTGCCATCACCTGGCCTCACCAGGCTCTTGAGCTACCACTCCAGTGGCCTGAAAGGAGTGGGAGGGGCTGGGCCTACTCTTGGGTACCTTGCCTGGGGGCACTGGTCTCTGGCTCCTGGCTCCAGAAGTGGCTCCAAGGGTCTGGGTGGGAAGCAGGAGGCCATTAGGACCCAGAAGCTCTCAGAGCATCCTGCTCTGCCGGCTGCCTCTCACTGATCACTGCAGTGGTTCAGGCTTCAGCAGCCTTGGAGAAGCATCAGCTGAGAGGCGCTATCACATGGGAGCCGGGAGCTGCTCAGCAAAGGTAGGAGTTGCCGACTAGGCCAGAAATGGGGGCCAGACCCAGGCCTGGTGATGAGTGCTGAGGCACCCCACAGAAGGGTATAGCCCACCCTCCCTTATGGTGGGCAGTTTTGTCTGGGGATGGGCCCCCAGGTATCCTGAAGGAAATATTGGGGTGTGGGCATCTCTGAAGTCTAGAGATGGGGGTTGATCTCCAGTAGGAGTATCCACATCCTGCAGACAGACAGGGTTCCCCATCTATCTTGCTCCATGTCATAGAAATGGGTCCCCTACATCTTAGGAATAGGTCCTTTGGCATCCAGGCTGACGGGCAACTCTGTGTCCTAGGCGTGGGCAACTCTGCTAGGGGGAGGTGCCATAGCCCCCTGAAAATCTCTCCTGGCTTAGGTGGGGGTTTGCTCTTGTCTGAAGGAAGGCCAGGCTCGGGTCCTTGGGATGGAAGCTCTGTAACTAAGAAACAGGTGCATGTGAATCCCAACACCTCTGTGGCCTTGGGCTGGGCACTTATGTACATCTTGCCTCCTGAGACAAGGCTATTTGTAACTTGACTGTACCCCTGCTAGAGGCCCAGACTTCAACCTCTAGGATGGCAAAGCCGTCCAGGTATTGAGATGTTCTGGGGGTGAGGGAAGTGTTGCTAGAAGGGAACAGGGAGAGGATAAGAGCATCCGAGAAGCCACGATAATCGAGCGAGGAGTGGAGCGAGGCTCCCTGGGCTTCCACTGTGAAACTGTTACCCCATGTCCCTCCCAGCCTTTACCCTGGTCCATCAGTGAGGAAGTGCTGGGGAGCGGGTATACTGGCTTTTCTTTAGAAGGTAAATGGGAATGCTGGAATTTAGGAAGCAGTGCGGAGATACTGGCAAGGCTCAGAGGGGCTGCGAAAAAGAGGAATGTTCAATGCCTTCTTGCCTAGGGCTCCATTATGGCTGCACAGCACCTCTCCATCTCCACGTGGAATACACATCTGCTTCCCGCGGTCTGGGACCCTGGGTAGGCCCTGCTGGCAGACTCTTGATGTCTGGGCAGCAGTGGTGGACCTTGACTCCTTTAGCTCCCAGGGCCCCAGAGTCATGTCTTCTGGGCCCCACTCCCAGGTAGAAGGAATGGGGGAGTCATGGCATAGAAAGAAAAGGGCAAGTTTGCCTCTCCTGGTGTTTCTCCCCACATTTTTTTTTCTGGAAGGTTGTCTTATGATAAGCGTCTCTACCCTGAGCCCTCTCTTTCACCCTCTCCACAGACTTCGAGACAATGTGATATGAGCTGTCACACCTCTCCTTATCCCCTGGAAGAGGCACATCTCTGGGTAGTTAGTTCAAAGTTAGGACTCCCTCAAGTCCAGGAGCCCAAGTTACTCATTTCAGAAGAGAGGCTCCTGGCTGGCACACAACTGAGTGTTCCTGGAGCATATCCTGGAGGAAAGGATTCAACTGATCAATCGGAGTTTGATTCAGGTCACAAAGTTGTACTGAGCACATACTGCACGCTTGGCATGCTAGAAGTTAAATTAGTGCAAGGCTGATGGTAATGCCAAAAACCAAGGTGACTGTAAGGCTGGAGCTATAGAGGGGCAAGGGACCTATCTGCCCCATGTGGGCCTCTTTACTTCAGTCAGAGAAATGATGGAGTCTTAATTGAGCAGCCACCAGGCCCTCCATAGCCCAGGGACTCACTGAGCCATCCAGTGTTATCACATATGGAAAGCTTGAAGTTTTTCCAGTCCAACCCTCCCATTTAACACATGAGGAGAGTGATCCAGGAAACTTCAGACTTGTCTGCAAAAAGCCCATTAGACTTGGCATGGCCACAGTTTGCCTCTAATTTTTATACCTTAGTACACTATGCTGAGGAACTCTGGACTGCAAGAATGGCATATGGAAATCAAAAAAATTAAAATTACAGCTAACTCTTGAACAATGTGAGGGTTAGCAGTGCTGCCCCTTGAAGCAGTGAAAAATCCCGGTATAAACTATAGTCGGCCTTCCGCCTTGCAGCTCCACATCCCACACTGCTGATGGGGTCCTGTACTACTGTAGTATTTATTATTGAAAAATAAATCTGCGTGTAAGTAGACTCCTGCAGTTCAGACTCATGTTGTTCAAGGGTCAACTGTACATTGGGCAACTTATTTCAATTCTGTGCGAACTCAGCATGGATAATGACACATAAAACAGATTTTATCAGAGAAATGAGAGACGCTGAGCCCGGAGACTTCTTCCTTTGCCAGATTCTTCTGGTTTACCGCTCTGCTTTATGCTCACCCACCTTCACTCCCCATACCTTTTATACAGATGCCTACTCCCCCTTCTTGTTCTGGGTCTATGGTAACAGTCCAGGAACAGGAGGGTTTTGGCCAGAGGTCCCTCCATGGTCAGCTGCAATGACCCAAGATCCAGGGCCCTGGAGAGTGGGAGGTTAGGAGCAGCTCCTCCCTGACCTCTGGGGGCACAGTGACCTTGGTACATTAATGTGTGGGTAGCGATGGGCAGCTTTCATGTGACTTATGTCCTTCTGGCTTTGGGAGCAATAGAGGCTGGATGAATTGACTTCCCAGTTTCCTGCCAGTGGGATGTTTTGTTTTCACTGGTCCTTCTCAACACTACTAAAGTGGCAGCTCTTTGGCTTGGGGGTGGTGATGTTAGAGCAAACTGAAGCACAATCTTTCCCCTTTTCAGGTGATCTCTTCCCAGTGGTAGCCCCAGTTCAGTGGGAGACAGTTTTTTATTTTTAATTAATTAATTAGTTTTTATTTTTGGCTGTATTGGGTCTTTGTTGCTGTGTGGGTTTTTCTCTAGTTGCAGCGAGCAGGGGCTACTCATCATTGTGGTGCGCTGGCTTCTCATCGTGGGTAGTTTCTCTCATTGTGGAGCATGGGCTGTAAGGTGTGCAGGCTTCAGTAGTTGCAGTGGTTGCTCTGTGGCATATAGGATCTTCCTGGTCCAGGGATGGAACCCGTGTCTCCTGCATTGGCAGGTGGAATTACCACTGAGCCACCAGAGAAGCCCGAGAGAAATTTTTAGAGATGTTTCAAATTCAACAACTATTTACTGAATGTCTGTTGTGTTGCAGCCACTGTGGAGGGCACCTTCAGGCGAAGCATGGCACGGGGGGCTGAGTACTAGCCCTGGAGCCAGGCCTTCTGGGTGTGTAACTGGACCTGGCCACTTACAAGCTATGTGACCTTCGGTAAGTCCCTTTATCTCCGGTAGGTCCCAGTTTTATCAACTGCAAAATAGGGAAAGGATATCTACCTCATAGGGTTACATAAGGATTAAAATGAGTTAATATATGTGGAATGCTGAGAACAGGGCCTGGCATGTGGAAAGCACCATACATACATTACTGCTTATTAGGATTTTATTAATAAATCCTGCAGCATCTTCCAAACACAGTTGTGAAGTAGGTATTATTCCTTTCATTTTACAGATGGCTTTATGAGGAAACCGAAGCTGAGAAGAGCCACCGAGTTAGTAATTCCCAGACCTGGGACTGGAAACCGGATCTCGTGCTTGTTATCCGCAACGATTCCTGCCATTCTGAGGAGACAAGAAATCAGGAAATTTACATAAGCAACCTTAAAACTGGGGCACGATCCCAGAGCTCAGCGGGACCCTGAGAAAGGGAGACAGAGGATTTGGACTCGGGACAACAGTCCTTGAAAGGGGAGAAGGGTGTGGAAAAGAGAGGAAAAGGAAGTGGAAAAGGAGCTGGAGACCACTCAGAAGATGGAGTGTTGAGTGGGTGAGGCTCCTGCATCGCTCCCTCTCTTGCTTCTTTGCAGTCACCAAGGTGGACCGGAGCTGCCTCCTGAGCCCTCAGTCACTGGCCTTGAAGGCTGGCAACAGGAGCCTGCTGAGAGGCTCCAGCAGGAGGCGCTCTCTCCCCCAGATCTGCACACACAAAATTGGGAAGCCTGGGCCTGGGCTTGCCATCCCAGGGGCACTGGACTAGGATGGGGGATGGGCCTGTGACAGGAGGTGCCCTGGGTGTCCTCTTTCGGCCCCATGGAGTCCTCACCCATCCCCCAGTCGTCAGGGAACTCTTCCACGCTGGGGAGGGCCCCTCAAACCCCAGGTCCCTCTACTGCCAGTGGGGTCCCGGAGGCAGGGCTGCGGGACGTGGCTTCAGAATCCGTGGCCCTCTTCTTCATGCTCCTACTGGACTTGACCGCTGTGGCTGGCAATGCTGCTGTGATGGCTGTTATTGCCAAGACACCTGCCCTTCGAAAATTTGTCTTTGTCTTCCACCTCTGCCTGGTGGACCTGCTGGCCGCCTTGACCCTCATGCCCCTGGCCATGCTCTCCAGCTCCGCCCTCTTTGACCATGACCTCTTTGGGGAGGTCGCCTGCCGCCTCTACTTGTTCCTGAGCATATGCTTTGTTAGCCTGGCCATTCTCTCGGTGTCGGCCATCAACGTGGAGCGCTACTATTACGTGGTCCACCCCATGCGTTATGAGGTGCGCATGACGCTGGGGCTGGTGGCCTCTGTTCTGGTGGGTGTGTGGGTGAAGGCCTTGGCCATGGCTTCTGTGCCAGTGTTGGGAAGGGTCTCGCGGGAGGAGGGAGCTCCCAGCATCCCCCTAGGCTGCTCACTCCAATGGAGCCACAGTGCCTACTGCCAGCTTTTTGTGGTGGTCTTTGCTGTCCTTTATTTCCTGTTGCCCTTGCTCCTCATCCTAGTGGTCTACTGCAGCATGTTCCGAGTAGCCCGTGTGGCTGCCATGCAGCATGGACCGCTGCCCACGTGGATGGAGACCCCCCGGCAACGCTCTGAGTCTCTCAGCAGCCGCTCCACGATGGTCACCAGTTCGGGGGCCCCCCAGACCACGCCACACCGGACGTTTGGGGGAGGGAAGGCAGCAGTGGTTCTCCTGGCTGTGGGGGGACAGTTCCTGCTCTGCTGGTTGCCCTACTTTTCTTTTCACCTCTATGTCGCCCTGAGTGCTCAGCCTGTTTCGACGGGGCAGGTGGAGAATGTGGTGACCTGGATTGGCTACTTCTGCTTCACTTCCAACCCTTTCTTCTACGGATGTCTTAATCGGCAGATCCGGGGGGAGCTCAGCAAGCAGTTTGTCTGCTTCTTCAAACAGGCTCCAGAGGAGGAGCTGAGGCTGCCAAGCCGGGAGGGCTCCATTGAGGAGAACTTCCTGCAGTTTCTTCAGAGCACTGGCTGTCCCACAGAGTCCTGGGCTTCCCGACCTGTACCCAGCCCCAAGCAGGAGCCACCTGCAGTTGACTTTCGAATTCCTGGCCAGATAGCTGAGGAGACCTCTGAGTTCTTGGAGCAACAACTCACCAGCGATATCATCATGTCGGACAACTACCTCCGTCCCGCCCCCACACCACGACTGGAGTCATGATGGGCTGGTGGACACTTGGAGGGTGATGGGGCTGGGGGCCAGTTATAACTGCAAGGAACTCCTTGTGGGATCACCTTTTTCTGGCTAGCTGGGGCTGGGATCTCTGCACACAGCTTTTGCTTAATGTTTCTGCGTCAGCAACAGAGCCAACTGGATGGATATGTGGCAAAAGCCTTGGACATGGCTATGATCCTTGACTACTGGGGGAGGGAACCTGGTGAGATGGTGACGAGAGTCAAGGGTCACGAAGGTGAGATGATGATGATGATGCTTTTCAACCAGTGAGCTTTCCATGCTTCAGGAAGCAGGGAAATTCTAAGGGCAGGAGTTGGAGGATATAGGGCAGCAGGCCAGGTGTGGAGTTATTCTGAGGACCCTTTAGGAGCTTTCATTTTTCAGTAAAATAGTCCATGGTAGAAACTGCACCCAGGCAAGGTAAGAAAATGACCCCTGACTTCTCATTTCCTTGCTAGGCTTAAAAAAACAGGACAAAATTGCAGCCAAGTGTTTCCATTTTTCTAGTTTTAAACCTGAGGTTTCCTTGAAGTGAGAGGACCAGCTTTATTCCTTTCTTGAGTTTGGTCAGAGCAAGTGGAAATAGTAATCAGGGCCTATAGGGTAGAAGAGAGGACAGTTGACTGCAGCTCTCTCCCACCTTCCAGGAATAGCTATTCTGTTGTATTTTTTCTCTCTCTTAGATGTGAGAGATCAATTTTGGGACTTGATCTTAGCAGAGGCAAGATTAAAACAGGATGGCTCTTTCTCCTTGTCTTTTAGGATGAAATGGAAGGACTGGGGGTTGGATTGCTGAAGGTGGGGGTTAGCATTTGAATTGCTAAGGTGGCTGGATACGGAGAGGCCCATACTAACCCTGACCAATAATACTCTAAATCTTTATTTTCCAGAACTGGCCTCCCTGATCTCTCTCCTCATGGCAGTGACCCATCGCCAGCCCCCTGGACAACCGGGTACAAGAGACTAAGGTTGGGAATGGGAAAGGTGGGGTTTCCATGGTTCATTAAATGCTTCCCTACTCCCATCCATCGCTCTCAAAATTAGCTTCAGTGACAAAGACTTAAATCTCTCTCCTATCTGCAGCCCTGGGTTGGACAGGGGGTGCAGGAACTGGGCTCAGCTGATTGAAACTGTAGGAACTGTTAGGTGGTACTGATGGCGGTATATTCAAGGGAAGGGGAACAGCTGCAAAACTGGACAGGACACCCATCTGGGACTGCCTGTTCATCCATTTCCCTCATTCCAATCAGGTAACATTAAAGAGTCAAGGCAGGACCAGATGGTGATGTGATCTGTATTTGAACAAATTCCTGGTTTATTGAGCTTCAGTGGGGAAGACGGGTTGGTGGGAATAGGCTAGCTTCCCCTTTGAACGGCTAATAAATAATTTTTATTACAAAAATGTTATGCTGATATCAACATTGACTCCTTCAGTTCAACCCAGTGCCTAAGAGCTGAATACTCCATTCTCTGGGACTCACACAGACTTATGGTCACTGCCTTCAAGGAGTGCACAGTCTTAATTTGATCAGGTACCTTGTTTTATATTTTGACAGAGCATTCACATATAGTAAAGCATTATAGAATTTTAGAGAAATATATTGAAAAATATGTTCATGGTTCTAACTTGAGTTCAGCCCATTGCAGCAAGATGTCTACATGGAGGCTTCCTGCAGACTGGAAAGTGTGGGGGTTGCAGATGAAACTCTAGTTGAAGAAAATGATTTATTAAATGAAATAGGGCAGCTTTTTCTCTTCAGATCTAGGAAATTTTCCAGGTTTCCGTCTTCCTACTGCTAGACTTATTTTAGCATAAGGCCTTATTGCACTGAGGAGCTCCTTCAGATAATTTATATTTCGAAGAGAGTCTTTTGCGATTGAAGGCATGTTCTCCTCCACTCTCTCCTCCCTTTTAAGATAAATTTAGGAGGAATCGCATTTCTAGATAGGGGAAAACATCCAAACATCACAGATGAACTAGTAGACTGAGCGTTGCCAGCAGATGGCAGTGTGAGTCTAGTGGAAATAGGAAATATGCGTGTAGGTGGGGAGGGGGAGCATTCCCTGGCAGCCATTTTAATTTATTTTGCCTTTTCCTTTGACTTTGCCCTCCAGCCCTTCCTTTACCATATTCCAAAGGAGAAAATCTTGAGTGCAAGGATATTGCTAACTTAGGCTGAAATTTCTTGACACTGTGACCTCCCTGGCATTTATTACAGAATTTGACATATGCTTTATGCTTTTTTGACACATGGTTTATTTGCATTTATTTTTCCCTGAGTTGATCATGAAGGAAATAAAATTTTCTCTTCTATTATGCTGAGAACTTTCCCAACAATTTCTGTCATGACCACCTTCCAGGAGTATTTTAATCACCAGGATCACTTGGTAAAGTTCCATATGTAATTCTTAAGCTTGTGAAAGCAATTCCTAGGCAAAATTTGACTTATAAATCCACTGAAGAAATCAACAGGTTGAGAAAATTGTGCTCTCAAGTTATTTTTTCCCTCATCCCAGTGTTGTTGGAGTAACTCTCAATCCTAGATGAAAAGCTGTTGTCAGGACTCCCAGGTAACATCTTATAATGGCATGGTAGAAAAGGAGTGAATTTGGAGTCAGTACTTACTCACTGTGTGAACTTGGAAAGATGCTTAATTTCTCTGGGCCTATTTGTTTATCTGTAAAAATGTGGATAACAACCCACAGTCACAGGGTTGTTGTGAAGAATAAATGAGATGACAAATCGAAGTACCTAGCCATACCTGGCAAATAGGTACTCAATATTGTTTTTTCTCCCCTTCTTCTTGCCCTTTCCCCCCATAAGTATTGATTATGGCAGAGCATCCCCCTATATTCTAAGTCACTAGGAAGAGTAGGAGATTTGGAACTTTGAAGAACTGGCATTGATAAATTAAGGTGCATGAGGCTATTTAATGTGGTTTTCAAGAAATCCCTCTAATGATCATCAGTCACCGTATATATCTTTCTGTTGGGATCTTATATTCTAAGGTCTAGGTTCGATTGGGGAAATAACATTTAATCATAGGGAAAGATCCTGGGGGCTACAAGAGTTCCCCTCCCTAGAATGTACGGTGAATGTTTTTGTGGAGCTCTTTGGAAGTAACGGTAATGTAGGGCTATTTTCACCATAGAATCCAGGATTATGAGTAAAAAGACTTATCAGTGTGGGGCTTTCATAGGGGATTTATCAACATCCAGGTGATACTATAGCTGAGAAACAAATTTTACTATGACTTCTCTTTTCGTGTGTTACCACAAAAGGAAATTTTAAAAGGAGATTCACAGGATGCACTGGTTTGTTTTAGGGTGTGGAACTTTGGTTGCCTAATCTTGGTAGAAAGTCCTAAGCCCTTAACGCACGACAATATGTCAGCGCTAAATCTGGCTTGTGTGGGGGAAAGGCAGCATGGAAATTTCATGGAAAAACCACATTCTTACCTTTCAAGTAATGTAAGATCTGTTACCGATTTCAAGAGATCCTTTACCGACATAGTAGCTGGGCAACTCTCAAACCAACTGGGTACAAGTAGGTGAGCCAGAGGAGAGGGCAGAAAGGGACTGCAAAGTCCCAGGCATGGTGGGTCTTAACTTATTCCAGATGTGGAGCGTGACCGCGGCGAGGCCCAGACTGTAATTCTCATCCCATAACTCTGGTTGGGACGACGCCAACAGACAAACTATCCTACACTTGGTCTCAGATCTCCACTGCCAGAATTTAAATGGGTTTTCTGGCCAGTGAGAAATTCCCAGCAGAAATTCCCGTGCGGGTTGAGGGCTTTTACTTGGGAATTCCCATTCCCCACGCCAATCGGCCGTGTGACCTCGGGAGGGTGCCTTGAACCGGAGAAACCAGTCCCTGGTATCTCTACAGCCATCCAAATAAGACAGCCAAAAAGGTGAAAGGGGTCTAAAGTCGAGCGGCGCCCGGTAAGCTCGATAGGGCCGCCCTACATCTCGGAACCGACACTCGGCGTCCTGCTCTCTCTCTCTCTCCGTACTTCCGCTTTTGGTCACGCCTCCTTTACCTCAGCTAGGGAGGTCGCAAAAGTAACGGCCGCGGGCGTTGCCGGAAGTGTCGTAAAACGCCGGATATCCGGTTCCTCTGGGCGCTCTGGGAGCTGACGGAGAGGGCCGCCGCCCAGCAGTAGACTCTGTCTCCGCCTGCCAAGCCGCAGTCTCCGCGGTTTGTGAGTGAGCCCCGGCCCGGTCCCTTCTTCCGCCGCCGCCATGGGGTGCACGTTGAGCGCCGAAGATAAGGCGGCGGTGGAGCGAAGCAAGATGATCGACCGCAACTTGCGGGAGGACGGGGAGAAAGCGGCCAAAGAAGTGAAGCTGCTGCTACTCGGTGAGGGGCTGGGGGCGGGGCTGGTGGGGTGGTTTGGAGGGCCCAGGCACTTGAGAGTCCTAATGGGGGGTTGGTCCGGGCGGGAGGAGAGGACCCCGAAGAATCTGGAGGGCGTGACGGACGTGGGCGGGGTGTGGGGTTGGTGGCTGATGCCGGAGGGCGTGATGAGGGGGTGGGGTTTTGGGGTTGTAGGAATTAGGCTGGAAAGAGGGTGTGCCACCATGCTGGGATTGTTTAGCGAAGGTGCTTCGAAATGTGGTCCAGTAGGACATTGAGACTGTATTAGGAATATGGGAAAAGCTCATAAAGGGAGAGCAGATGTTAGAGAAAGTTTTTCAAGGGAAGGGTTAGAGTGAGTTGGTATTGAGGACGGGAGAGTGTGTTGGGCTTGTATAATGGCTTGTGAGTTTGGAGCGTGGTGATACTTTATGACAGATTAGAGCTGGGGGGCTTGAATAATTAATATAAATAGAGAGGGGGGCTGGGACAGAGTGGTCACGTAGGACCCTGTCATTTATTAGAGAGTGGACACTTTGCGCGCTCGCTGAGGTGAAGGAACCCTGGGTTATCCAGGAACATAAAGGTGTATGGTTGAAATAACTGACAGGTTCTCAGGTGTAAAGGAAAAGAGTTTGAGTGTAGAGGCTGTGTGTACTTATCCACTATTTCCGATTATTTTTATTTTCTTAAGGGTTTTTTTTTTTTTTTATAACTCCTTCCATTGTTTTTATAAAGGGGGAGCTGGTGTGAGCTGAGGATATTTAAGGACTGGCTTGTTTGAGGTTTGTGGCATAGGATGTGATGATGACAATAAATTACACAGTGGGAGTTGATGAATATTTGCTGGGGATGATGTGCAGTGGGAATGCAGTTATCTTAGGATAAATTATGGAATTGGACTTACTGTAAAAGATGGGATAGTGACAAACTTATGTTGAGCTGGGCTTTTTTGTTTGTTTCTTCAAACGAAAAATACTGGCTTCAGGAATTACTGTTTATTTTACTTGACATTCGTTTTAAGTACAGTCAGATGCATTTTACTCAACCTGGTTAGTTTTAGCATTTTTGAGAGATTGTTTTCTAGAAGCTCAGTGAATCATATAAAATACCCTGATGTCAGCTTACCAATAAATCAGGCCACATTTTTTCTTCACTGTTAGTATCTTCTAGGGATCTGTTAGGGAAGAATAAGTGGAAGTAATGGTTTCTGTAAGCAATAAAACTTTGCTTTTTAAAACAATTGATTTTTGGGAAAAAGAAGTTGCTTTAGGAGAAGTGCCAAATTTTTATGATGTGAAGCTCCAGAGGACAGAATGCACCACCATAAATAACCCAGGGTTTATTTTGTACTCTAGGATGTTCAGGGTGCCCATGCTAGTCTTTTCATGTTAACATATTTGACAATTTGTAGATTGCAGAAGCCCTGGTAACAGCTTTTTGAATAAAGAGAGGAAGTTATGCACTGGAGTTTGAGCCTTCAGTTTGAATACTTGATCTTACAGAATGTATGAAAAAAAAATTGAAGTTCCAAACTGCTACTCTTCCATACAACAGGTATCATTTGTGAATGAGCGTGGTCCCTGATAGTAGTAGATACTTAAGTATAAAGTGTTAACCAGCATGTGCCAGCTACTGTTGGACATAGCTCCTTGGGACCTTTCAGATGTTTGATATAAACTATAGTACTCAAGGCATTAGCATTGTTTCTATTGATCAGTTGGTTATGAAAGTAAAGGTGTGTTTTTATCTTCTGTGATTATTTTGGTTTACATTCATAATCAGAGATCCCCTCAGGCTATTAGGCTGTTGTAATACACTTTATAAGTAGTGGATTTAATTAAAAACAAAATTAAACACATGATCACTTAGGAAATTTCAAAAGCAGTAGGTAAAAATCAAAGTACTACAGCATTTGCTTTTACTTTTTAATCAGTTTCTTTGTTTTAAGTAAGTTATTTTATATTCTTGAGCAAGTTAAATGAACAGATTCAAATAGGTTGCAGAGAGATGCATTTGCTTGAGTCATGACATAACACACATGAAATTAAAGTTATCTTCCTTGCTATTTCTATAAACAAAATGCACTCATCACAGTATACAAATAATTTTGCTGTTGAATACCTCCTTTGATATACATGCAAGTCATTTTTACTTCCTCTCTGTAAAACTATCAAACTTGGTCTAAGTTTCAGTCATTGTTATTATTTTAACAAGATGAATGTTACCAATTAAAATTACTATAGAAATTCAGGAGGAATGCAGTATTGTAATTCTTTCGTTACTTTTTGTTTAAATTTCTTTTAGATGTGTTATTGAGAAGCTCTTGATATATTAGTGTCTAGTCATAATACTCTGTAAAAAAACAAAATTATGTTATACAGGGCTTCCTAACCAGAGTGTAGTGCATAGGAAGGCTTGCAGTGTGCTGTTTGCAAATGTTTTATGGTTTTGAAATTTTAAATCATTTTTATGATTTTAAATCATTTTGTAACTGATTTTTCAAATTTCACAGCAGTTAGAATGATATTTGAACATTTTTGGTATGATTCCACCAGTACACTTTCTGAATTTGGCAATTGAAAATATTTGATTTGGAAGATTTATACCAATTAGTGTTTAATATCATCTGTAACATTTTGTACTGTATTTTTCATGTCATAATTTTATAATAAAAAGAAAATGTATGTTATTTTCACCAGGTCCCTCCAGTTTACATTGGTAATCTATAAAAGTATTATAATTTTAAGCGTGCAGCATGATGTGACCAAAGTTGGGAATCACTGGTATAATGGATATGAGCACTGCTTTTGGGGTCACATAAAACTGAATTCAATTCCCACCTCCATTTACTAGCTGTGAGACCCAGAGCATGTAACTTAACCATAGGAGTCTTATTTTCATATATAAAGTGAGGATGTGATAGTTATTTCCAAAGCTCAAATGAGATAATATATGTAAACTGTTTAGCGAATAAATATTAACTAAATGGTGACTTCTGTTATTACAATGATTGGAAAACTTACCATTTTAGTTGCTTTTTTCAAGTGTTTCAGACAGATATTTGATTATTTTTCAAATATTAATGAACCCTTTTCAAAGACCTTCAAAGAATTTTAATACAACTCTTTTGTGGTAAAATGAATTGAACATTATCTTTTAGTTTTGTGAGTTATTGAATGATCTGCTCCTCTGCTACCTCTATTCATTTCTTGATAGTTCCCGTTAGCAGATCTTGAGAAAGCATTGTTATACAAAATGAAGTTAATGCTTTCTTCTTTAGGATTTTGCTGGTAGTGGCAGGGTAAAAATTAAGTCGCATGCAGAGTATTGGAACCATCTAATTCACTTAAATCCTATATTTTATAATTTATTTACATTTAAGTATCTGCATGTTACTGACTGAGTATGCTTGTTATTTGAAAATCAGACTGTCCTTTGATAAATATGCTATTAAGCTCTCATAAGATGATATTCTTTATAATATTTGCCATTTATTTGGTGTAAGATTCATAGACAGTTCTTTGATTTCTTATGATTGTGCATCTCATGCCTGGGCAAAAGAAACTGGCATAAAAAAATAGAAATTCACATGCAAAAGTAGGTTGGTTTGTTTCTTATAAGAACTTACTGTTCTTTGTGTCTTTTATTTGCATTCTTCACTTCTGCAGTCTGAAAGTGTGGTATCCTTTTCAGCAGTTACAATATTGTGATCTTGCCTGAGTATCCTAATTCTGTAGTAAGTACAGGAATGACCTTAGAGTTGGGTGCTTAGTACTTCTGGATTTGATGGGGCCTATAACTTTTTAATCGTTGCTGCAACTGTTTTGTTAAAAATAATTTTTAGCATATTAAACATTTTAGTCTATTAGACTACTACAGAAAATCTTTTAGTTTGGGGGCAGTTATCTCTGATAAAAGTAGTTTATTCCCTTACAGATGGTTGGTAAAACCTCAGACCTCGAGCACTGTGCTCGTCACTCTGCCTCTCGCCCATGGTGTGCTGCTTCATTCTCTGGTTGCTTGGAAAGGAAAAGGGAGTGGATGAGTCCCTGCAGATATTTCCTCTTTTTCTTCCAACCCACTCTCTTCTTCCACAGGGTCTTTCACATCATGCCTTTTTAAAAAAAAAACAAAAAACCTGGGATGTGTGTACTCCTTAGAGCTTCAGAAGATCCATGAACTTTATAAAATTGTTAGCAAAATTTGTGGTTACATAGGGTTTTCTGGAGAGAAGAACCACATTTTCATCAAGTTCTATGATACTGCCTAACCTCCTTAAAGTCTGTCATCCTTTGGACCAGGAAAATCAGTGGCTGGGCAAAAATGGGACATTCAAAATGCAAAAGAAAAAACCTAGACACTGTGAAAAATCTTTTACCTCTTTTCTCTAAAGGTTTTTTATTTGAAATTTGAGAAAACCGTTTTCTGTGCTTGAGATGTCTTCTCTTTCTGCAGTTCCCCAGTGATGAATGAACGGCTCACTGCCACTTGCCTCAAGTCAATATATCCAGTAGAGAACTTGCCTCCCCTCTTCACTTCTCTTCCCCAAATCCACCTCCTGTGAACCTTTCTGTTCTGGCATTGTCATTCTCAAAATCACCTACCCTGAAAACTGAACTTTTTTTAAACTCCTGGCTTGCTCTCATCCATATAACCAGTTGCCAAGTTCTGTGACTCAGTTGTTAACCAGCTTTTTGTATTTCCTGGACCAGTAAAATTAATTTTTTTGTTATTGACTTGACTACTGTCTCCAACATTGTATTTTTCTTAGTAAATATATTTTTTAACTATGCCAAGCACCATCTATTATGATTACTATTTTAGTTTCCTTTCCTCCATGAAATCTTTTTGATGTTCTGAGTTGGATATGATGTGTCCCACTTTTTGAAACCTCATAGTACTTTTTATGCTATTATCTACCTTATATTATGGTTATTTGTATACTTAGCAGCTCCTAACTATGTATGGCCTTTGAGGGCTGAGTGAACTTGGTATCTTTA